CAATCTGATTAGTCAATGGTGCGCGACAACGGTCAGGATGCAGCGGGTGGACATCATTTTCGTCGCCGTTTATTTGGCCCCACATCTTGGGATTTCTGGATCTAACTTTCAGATTCTAGATGAGGTTGGCAACTATCTCAAAGTGCAGGGTAAGCCATACATTATTGTTGGAGATTGGAACAACACAATCGCTGAAATGCAGCAATCAGGGCTTCAAGTATTCCTCAGAGGAGGATGGAAAGGACCCCAGGAAGCAGTACCAGGTGGACACAGACTCATTGATTTTTGCCTAGTAAGTCACCACCTTCACAATCTAGTGGACCTCACGTGGGACAGTGAAGGGCCATGGGGGGCACCGCATTCAGGTATTCGGCTCAAGCTCAGAGTTGGCGAGTTCACCATGCCCAAGCGTGTGTTCAGTCCTTGCCTTGCCATCGACATGAGTTTGCCTGGACCAGACTTACCTTGGGAATGGCACTCAGTCAGAGTTGAACCGCAGATTCAAGAAGGCATGAACAAGCTTCAGGCGAATATCCATTCCATGGGTGAAAGGCACTGCAGTGGCAAGCCTAACTACGATTTGGCCCAGCAGTACATGAAGTTCGCCTTGGCAGCAGAAAGTTTTTGCACGCACAGGAATCCCGATCTGGACTTCAACGACAGCGCGCAGCACCGGGGCTGGGCAGTGGAAGTTGTGGAAGTTCCTGTGGTTCCTACTACGGCGATGGGGTGGCAAGCGGAATATAGTGGCCTGAGTGCTTGGGCAGCGCTTTACGCTCGAGCAGCAGACTGGCTACACTTGCGGGAGAAGCTGAAGCACCCAGAGGAGATCGAGAAGGCCTGGCAGGCAGTAGAGTCCTGTTTAGCCAAAGTCTGGTCTCTTACTAGGTTCTTGTCCAATGAAAGAGAAGAAAGAACGCTTCGCCTGACCGCTCAGCTTGCCACTTTCAAGCAAATTGATCGATGCAAGAGAGAGCTCAAAAATCTCGGTCGCACGGTGAAAAATGTTGAGCTCTACCTTGTTAGATCCAAGCAGAAAAGTTTTAAAGACTGGATTCGCACATCTTTAAGCAAAGGCGCTGGCGCGCTCCATTCTTGGACAAAAACGTGGGGAGAGGAAATTCCCGACCTCGCCCCTGAGAAGCGCCCCGACGGTAGCACCATAAGGGACCCCATTGAGGCCATTGACCAGAAGGCTCAGTTTTGGGAGACCCTGTGGTGCTCGGGGGCTTTTGAAGGCCCTGCTGGGTGGTGGGGGGACTTCGTTCGGGAGGCCAGTAGGGAGCCTCTGGATGAACTCTCCATGCAGCAGCTTTTAGAAGCCCTAAAGTCTTTCAAAGGAGTCGTAGGAGTCGGGGCTGATCAGCAGAACCCGAATTGGTGGCGCCGTCTTCCGAAAGGTCGGGAGGATCTTCTAGCACTTCTCCAATCAATTGAGAGAGCAGGCGCTTGGCCACCTCAGATCTTCCTCAACATAGTTCAATTAATCCACAAGAGTCAGGTGGCTGATCGGCCAATCACCCTGACTCAGGGCTTGTATCGGACGTGGGGGAGGACTCGGAGGTGGGAGATTGCTGATTGGAGCGCCCAGCGGACCCAGCACTGGGACAAAGTGGTCAAAGGCAGCTCCTCTTTGCCAGCGGCCCTCATCCGTCAGTGTAAACTAGAAATGGCCACTTCCCAAGGCTTTTCCTGGGCTGAGGTTCTCTGGGACGTCGACAAGTTTTACGATCACGTTCGGCTTTTTCAGGTGGCCAATGTGGCCAAAGGGGTTGGCTATCCCCTTCCAGTGCTTGCGCTCGGCTTGGCCATCCACCGAGGACCGAGGAGGCTGCGTGCTGAAGGAGTGGTTTCAAAACTGATCTGTCCAGACCGCTCCCTGATTGCCGGGTGCAATCAAAGTGTAGATCTAGCCAAGCTTTCACTGTGGCAGGTGCTCGAATCGATGCATGCAGACTATAGACCTCTAGATCTCTCCACGTGGGTGGACGACTTGGGACAAGTCGAAATTGGCCGAGAAGCCGACGTCATCACGCGTACGAAGTCAATTTCAATTTCTTTAGCAGCACGTCTTGGTAGGGCTGGATTCAAGGTGTCTGACAAGTCGGCGATCCTCACATACCCCCCTCGCCTCGCGAAGGAGATTTCGAGAGCTCTCGCTGACGCTGGAGTGCCCCTCAAGTGCCCAACACACGTTCGGGACCTGGGGATTGACGGCCACACGGCCAGGCGTTCCACAGCGGTCATCAAAGATCGCCTTGCCAAGGGACAAAAGCGTGCTGTCCAGATCACCAAGCTAGTCAAATCTGTGCCCCAAGCTCGAGTCCTCGCTAAGACGGGGTACCGTCCAGCAGTGACGTATGGACAGATGGCCCAAGGCCTCAGTCCGACAACTCTTTTATCGCTTCGAACTTCGGTGGCAGCCCTCTCTGGTTACAAGAAGCCAGGAGGATGCCCTACCACTTGCATAAGACTAGGGTTCACTGAAGCTGATGATCCAATGATCCATGGACGGATGCAGATTTTCGCTACATGGCTGGAAATTTTATCTCACATGCCTGAGAAGATGCGAGCCATCGAGATCGTCTGGCGCAAAACAGTTGCTCACTTGCTCACTTGCAGGAAGGTGTCAGACCCTGGGCTCGTGTCAAAGGTCTTATAAGCGCTGTCGTGGCTAGTCTGCTTGACCTCCACTGGGAACCCTTAGGACCTGTTGCCTGGAGGACGCCCAGAGGTGAAGTCTTGAATATTCTTGAGCTCGACAGGGATCATCTCCTCAATTTCGAAATTAAGCAGGCACTAGACCATGAGTGTTGGATTCGTGCCTCTGATTCGCATGTTTATGGTAGAGGGGCCCAGGATGGAGTAGATCTCACCATTTTGAAGAGACACCTCAACACGCTAGCCAGAAAGAAAGCGTACGACAGAGCGGGGGTGCTCCGCATGATTGCAACAGGAGCTTTGTGGCCAGCAGCTAGGAGATTCGGTAGTGAGAGCCGCGGGGGCATTAAGATTAATCCTCCTGCTGAGCTGCCTGCCGCTGCGGCTGCCGAGCCTGCTGCTGCTAGTGCTTCTTCTTCCTCCAATGTCCCTCCTCAGCCCCCGCAGGCCGCTACCTCCTTTGACGACCCCGAAGGGGATCCCATGGAGGAGGAGGAGTTTCCGTCGGATGGGGGGGGGGGAGGAACCACCTGAAGAGTTGGCCGAGCAGGCCGCGTTTCAAGAGCCAGCGAGTGTCGCGGCTTGGAATTCTTCTCTGTGCCCCCGATGCCACGAGTGCGAAGAAACGCTTTTCCACCAAATCTGGGAATGCAAGTGCAATTTCGAGCTCCCACAAGAGGGGCTACACTGGGGACATTTGTCTCAGGCGCGCCAGGAGTGGAAAGATGAACCATGCTTCTGGCTCAGGGGCCTCGCGCCCTTAGCCTGGACTTTCAACATTCGACATTTGGAGATTCAAGGGGTGGAAACCCTTTCCCCTGAGCTTCAAGGCGAGAAGTTTGTCCTTCCCCCAGGAGCCTACCTTGGAGGAGATGGGTCTGGTGGCCTGTTCTCTGCGGACCCTAGGATCAGGCGGTGTGGCTGGGGAGGAGCTATTTTCTGTAACGGGGAACTCCTGGCCTGGGCCAAAGGGCCCCTTCCCACGTTCAAGCAAACTGTGCCCCTTGCGGAGTTGTGGGCCTGCTACAGGATGGCCCAACTAACTGCAGGTGATTTAGTCTTTATAGGAGACAATGACTCGGTGGTGAGCGGGATCAATTCGGGCCCCCGTTTCCGCCACACGGAAAATTCAACTTTTTGGGACCTGTTCTGGCAGGAATGCGAGGGTAGGCGAGTGCTTGCGATTAAAATCAAGTCGCATGAGTCGGCCTCAGACGCAGTCCTGATTAGAAGGAGCAGGCTTGAGCATTGGGTTGCCAACTTTGTTGCAGACAAGCTGGCGGATCAAGCCGCCAAGGAGGCTCAATTGCCCAGCTGGGCGACCAATGAAGTAGAACGCATTGACAAGCTCAGCAGAGAGGTCCAGGAGCATATCCTAACTATTTCGCATTTCATTGCTGTGAATTCTTCTCAGATCTACGGAGCCAGTAGTGCCGAAGATCGCAGGCGAGAGAGTAAGAGGCGTAAGATGGCCAAGCAGTCGGAGATTGCGGCTCTCACAGCGTCCACTTCTCATTGCCTCGTCGAGCGTCCTGGCAAGCCGTTGAAGTGCTCCAAATGCCTCACGTCCCCGACGGGGACTGCGGAGAGTTGGCTCCGCATGGAGTGCCCTGGACTTCCTGCAAAGATTCACGTCTCCCACCGCCATCTCCAGAGATTTCGTGGAGTCTTCTGGTGCAGGGATTGTGGGAGCTATGCCGCCACCACTTTCAACAAGCTTTCCAAAGTGTGCTCGGGGAAAGTCTCGGAGCACGGAGGGAAGATTCTGCGATCTCTTGAGGCGGGAGAGCTCCCGAGGGACATCAAGGCCTGGCCCGAGCCTGAACCCTCTTTGGAGCTCCCGCCCCCAGTCGCATTTTTCTGAAGGGGAGGGGGCCCTGTCGCGGCTCACTGACTGGGTGGATCGCAGCCCAGTCGGTGGGTGACAAATTCGGATGGGCCCCCTCCGAACTTTTATAACTAGGGGCTCCGCCATGTGGACTCCGCCCCTCAGGTAGGTAAGAGGTAAGAGGAGGAGGAGGGGGAGGAGGAGGAGGAGGCGGAGGAGGAGGAGGAGGAGGAGGAGGAGGAGGAGAACAAGCAGGACGAGGAGGACGAGGAGGAGTCTGAGGAGGAGGGGTAGGGAGAATGAGGATGAAGAGGAGGAGGAGGAGGAGAAGGAGGAGAGAGGGAAGGAGGGAGGGGCAGGTAAGTAGGAGGGATGAAGGAGGAGGGATGAGGAAGGCGCGAGGAGGGAGGAGGGAGGCGCGAGGATGGGGAGGATGAGGACGAGGTGGGAGGAAGTGGGAGGAGGGAAGCGGAGGAGGGGTGATGGTGCCCAGCCGGTGTCTTTACAAAAGGTGGAGGAGCGCATCAACGCGGCCGCCACGCCGCTCTTTGCCAACAAGCGCCGCCGCAAGATCGACTGGGCCGCCAAGGAGGTGGCCTTCAGAGGAGAAACATGTACCCATACTGTCACGCGTCCCTCATCGCCACTGTCCGCTTGGCTTCGAAATCCTGGTCAGAACGCAATTCGGATGACGGCTGGGGTGCAGCGGCATCGGCTTCTGTTGTCTTAACCAGGCCCTGGGCCAGCCCACCAGCGACGCCGTGGCCGCCTGAGCCATTCGCCTGGGCCGGATCCTCAGATCCTCAGATCTAGGCCTCCTAGCTGGGATCGGAGTAGATTGGGTCGGAGGATCGCGCCGCGTCGCCGATGCATCGGCGATGCATTAGCAATGCGGCTCGATGTGGGGCCCAATTTTCTCCACGCCGGCGTCGCCGATGCATCGCCGACGTCGCCAGTGCATGGCCCTTGCGTCGCCGATGCGTCGGCGATGCATCGCCCCATGAATCGGCGATGCGGCGCGGTCCTCCGAGCCCACCTGCTCCGACTTCCGACCCCATTTGGGAGGCCTAGGTCTGAGCAGTCCTCGGACCAAGCCTCGCATGCCCCGGGCCACTCGTGTCCGCCGTGCTCGGCGAAACCGGGTGGGGCCGCTCCCGGGCGCACGGCGGGGCCACGTGGAGGGCGCCAGGAGAGGCCCTGTGCCCGGGAAGCGTGGGCCCCCTGCCGATGGGACGCGGCCGTGGGACGGGTGTTGCCAAGCGTGTCCCTGACGCGGGGTGTCCCCAGGATCGGTCCCTGCTCAGTTCTTTGGTGGTCCAGGTTGCCTCTGGAGCACCCCTTTCGAGGCCCAGAGAGGGCCTCCGGGGGATTCCGCATGGAGCGAAACGCTGAGGGCGCCCGTGGCCAGGGTAGCAACCTCCAACACGAAGACATGGGATCGGGGACGTGCCCCCGTCGCTTGGGCCACGACAGGGGGAGACTGGCCAAGGGGGGAAGCATGGCTCCCCAGTTGCCTTCCCCCCCCCTCTCTCCTCTGCCTCCTGTCCACCGCAGGGGCGCCCACTGGGGGGGACTGGCTCAGAGGGGAGGAGGAGGAGGAGGAGGAGGAGGAGGAAGAGGAGGAGGAGGAGGAGGAGGAGGACGAGGAGGAGGACGGATGCTGGTGGGCCAGCGACGTTATCTGGGCACAGGGGGACTAGGGCGACGGGAGTGAAGGCGTAGACGCGCTAAGCTAAGGCGAGGGCGCTTCTCCGCCTCCTCCTCCTCCTCCTCCACCTACTCCGCCTTCTCCTACTCCTCCTCCCCGTTCTCCTCCTCCCCCTCCTCCTCCGAGTGTCTCGTGGGGGGAGCTGACCGTGGACGCGCGGGGGGCGGCATGCAACCACACGCGCACGGCGCTCTCCGCGAAAGCCTCGGGGGCCAGTCGCTAGGGCGGAGGATATGGGTAAACTTAAGTCGGGCATACCCCCCTCAGCCAGCACCCACCCCATCGGCGACACCCCAACATACTGGTAGAATGTGTACGTGCCCCCCCCCCCCCCCCTCCCCCCTTCCCCCCCCAGGAGCGACGCCGCGCGCACCGAGGAATCTCATAGCACATGCGTCGTGGTGGGCGCTTTGTGGCCACACCGCTCGGGGAACGATCTACTACAAGACGGGTATACTTTCTGTTCGGGTCGGGCGCGCGCCTCGAAGGATGACATTTTCAGTATTAATGTGTCTCTGTGCGTCCCACCCCACGCCGACTTCCCTCGCCCCGAGTGTCTCGTGGGGAGCTGGGCGTGGACACGCTGGGGGGCAGGATGCAACCACACGCGCACGGCGCTCTCTGCGTGAGCCTCGGGGGCCAGTCGCCAGGGCGGAGGGTAGGGGTAGATTGAAGTCGGGCATGTCCCTCTACACCAGGAAAATTCAAGTCTAGGGACGAGTGTTCTGTAATGTTTTGACTATGTTTGGGTATTTGTTGTTCATTTTTGTAGTTTTCCTCCAGCATCCGCCTGTAGGAGGACATGCCCGACCTACGGGTAGATTCCGGCGCGGATACGCGGGGAGGTCGAAAGGGGCGTGTGAGAAATGGGTGTTACGAGAACTGCGGCGCGCAGCTGGTTTCGGCTTCGCCGCCGGGCGTTTCTCTTGGATGCATGGCTGCTCCTGGCGCCACGAGTCGCAGCAGAAACCCAGCGGCGCGCGGCTGAGTCCCAAGCCCCCCGCCCTCTGATGATGCTCCCCCCCGTCCGTCTCTCGGCCGGATGGCGATGGGGGGATCAGGACATGGGGGCATGAGTATCCGGTACCGTTGTGTTGGGGTAAAAATTGTACCTTCTCTGCGGGTTGCAAGTACAAACTGTACTTTCTCCCCCCCGTTCACATCCTCGCACATGTCGCGGACGTTGCCAAAAGTACAATTTGTACCTTGACTGCGTGGCGTTGGCACAAACTGTACCTTCTCCGTGGGGCACAGGTACAATCTGTACCTCGGTTGCGCCTCTCTCCCCCCCCCTGGACTTATCCCCCCCATTTGCATCCCCCCGTCCGTCTCCCCGAGCCATGGCCAGGGAGGTGTTCTGTTGCATCCGTGAGCCGCTTCGCCTGGCCGCCTCCGTTCCCCGTGCACGCGCGGCGGCTCCCGCTGCACCCTGCCGCTGCCCACGGGCGGTGAGCCCCCGTGCCTCGCGGACCTGGGCGTTGGGGAGATCTGGAGTGGGAAGCACAGTCTCACCGCATCGTGAGGGTGAGTACTCCAGATTTCGTAAAAAAAGGGAGGGGGGTCTCATTTCGGGGGGGGGTCTCTTCCAGGCTCTCTTGGAGGGTCTGCGGGGGGTCGGGGGGCGATGTTCTGGAGGGTTCTCCCACGGGGGAGGTCTGAAACGGCTTGTCTTGGAGGGTCCAGACCCCCTCCCTTTTATTACGACATCTGGAGTAGCTTTCCAAGGCTACCATGGCATCCTTGCTTCGCGGCCCATCCTCGCCTTTCAGTCCGCAGCCATGTGCCATGGACTTTTGTCTTCGGCCTCGACTTGGGCGTCCGAGGGCATGCCTATGACCCGGGCGCGCTGTCTGTAGTCAGTCCATGAGTAATTCACAGGGGGGGACTGGGCGCGACACTGCGAGCCAACGCGAATTCGTGTGCCAGGCCGCTTGGCCGGCAGTGGGTGCCGCAACGATGCCCCGCCGCGTGGGCAACACGGGCAGAGGGGTCAGACTTGCGCTGCGCTGTTGACACAGCATCGGGCGAACAGGCTGTACAGGAGATGAGCCCGAGCTCGCCTCAGGCTGTTCTCTCTTGCGCCTCCTCCTCCTCCTCCTCCTCCTCCTCCTCCTCCTCCTCCTCCATTGCTCGGTTGGCTTGAAAGGGATGTGGCTGAACAAACTATTGTGTAAACGAGGCATGCAATGCAGACTGTGCGCGCGCATGCGATGGTCTCAGTGACACTCATGGTCGCACGTGCTGCGGCTCACGCCGGAGCGCGTCGTGGCAGATGCCGCTACCGCGGGCTGTCCGACTCCTGAGGCCCATCTTTCGGCAGCTGGCCGGGGGCGGCCGCCACGCCAGACTGCCAGCCGCTTCCAGTCCGCAGGGCGGGGAAGTGGTGTGGCGGCGTGGGGGCGTGCCTCCTCCTCCTCCTCCTCCTCCTCCTCCTCCTCCTCCTCCTTCCCCCCCCCCCCCGAAGTGCAAGAAGGATTCTGGAAGAGCTGCTCCTCTCTTGGCAGGTGGAGCTCTCGAGCTCTCCGCCGCCTCTGGCGGTGTGCGTGGCGAGCAGGACCACAGCACAGCCGCTGCAGGTTCTCGTCGTGCCGACGGGGCGGCGGCGCCGGCGCGGGCGCTCCACGCGGAATCGCAGGATGGCCGCGAGGCGGCTCGCGTCGAAGGGTTCACGCCGTCGGAATTTCCGCGCTGGTTCGAGGTTGGGCAGTCCACGCGGGAGCCAGCAGCCAACGCGGACGTAGTCGTGGCACGACCCTGCCGTGCGTCCAGGCGGCCAGCAGGAGAAGGGGCGGTCAGGAGGTTGGGCGCGGGGGGAGGGCTTGACCACCCACGTCCTGTCCATTCCACTGTGCGACCACGCATGTGGATGAACGGAATGCGAGCGCCCGCTGATGTCAGGGGGATCTGTTTGCTCGTCATGATGTTGTGCGCGAGAATTCTGGGCCGTAACATGCTGTACCTCATCACTTGCAGTTCGCTAACATCCGAGGGATTACTATTATTTCATTGTCCTACATGTGTGCGCAAACTTCTCCCCCCTTTTCATCTCTCCCTTGATCTCGCACTCCTCATCCTCCTCGTCCCCCCTCCCGTTCCTCCCTTTTCCTCCTCCCTTTTCCTCCTCCTCCTTCTCCTCCTCCTCCTCCTCTCTTCTCTTCCTTCTCCTCCTCCTCCTCCTCTTCTCTCTATCTTCTCGTTTCTCTCTTCTCTCTTCTCCTCCTCCTCCTCCTCCTCCTCCTCCTCCTCCTCTTCCTTCTCCTCCTCCCTCTCCGCCTCCTCTCTTCTCTCTCCTCTCCTGAGCCTGTTGTTCCGCGGCTTGCCCCATGGGCGAGAGTGTGCGCGTGGGACGCCACGACGCGGCGCTGGGGGGAACAAGAGGCGTCGGGGGGGGCCGGCAGTGGCATTGCACGCCGGGGGTGCTGGTCGGCGTCGGCGGGCGAGAGGGGGAAAGGAGGGTGGAGGGGGAAAGGGGGAGGAGGACGAGGAGGAGGAGGAGGGGGAAGAGGAGGAGGAGGAGAGGGCAGAGGAGGAGGAGGAGGAGGATAATGACGATGCTTATGGTGATGATGTTGAATATGATGATGATGCTGCTGATGATGATGCTGATTATGGTGATTATGATGCTGTCGATGGTGCTGATGTTATAGATAATGGTGGTGATCACGATGGTGATGACGATGCTGGTTGTGATGGTACTTACAATGCTGGTGCTGCTGACGATGACGCTGATGAGGATGCTGCCGATGATGCTGATACAGACGATGATGATGATGATGATGATGATGATGATGATGATGATGATGCTGATGATGCTGCTGCTGATGACGATGATGATGATGATGATGATGCTTAGTCATCTGCTGCTGATGATGACGATGATGGTGATGATGACGATATTGATGCCGAGTACGATGACGATGATGATGCTGTTGATGCTGCTGATGATGCTGATGATGATGAGGATGATGACGATACACTTGCGAGAGTGATGATGATACTGCTGCTGCCGATGATGCTGCTGATGATGAGGGTGCTAATGATAAGAATGCTGATGATGATGATGAT